CTATCTATCATCTATCTATCTATCATCTATATCATCTATCTATCTATCTGTCTGTCATCTATCTATCTATCTATCTATCTATCTATCTATCTATCTATCTATCTAATCTATCATCTATCTATATCTATCTATCTAATCATCTATCATCTATCATCTGTCTGTCTGACTAACTATATAGTCTTACTGTGATAGGTAGAATAATGGCCTCCCAAAATATCCATATCCTAGTCACTGGAACCTGTAAATATGTTACTTTACATGGCAAAAAGGGGCTATGCAGATGTGATTAAATGAAGGATCTTGAGTTGGGGAGATTACCTGGATTATCCAGGTGGACCCTTTCCTCATTAAGGAAAGGGAAGCAGGAGAGTTAGAGTCAGACAAAGGGATGTGACAATGAAAGCAGAGGTTGAAGTGATGTGACTCTGGCTTTGAAGATGAACCCAGACTATGAGCCAAGAAATGTGAGGGGCCTCTGGAAACTGGAAAGGGCAAGAGAACGAATGCTCACCTACACACTCCAGGAGGAACACAGCCCTTGACTTTAGCCCATTTTGAGCCCTTTTGAGACCTATTTTGGACTTCTGACCTCCAGGACTTTAAGATAATAAATGTGTGTTGCTTTAAGTCATTAAGTTGGTGGTAATTTGTTACAACAGTAGGAAACTGACACACTTAACTATATTAACTCTTTTAATCCCCAAAACAACCCATTTTAAAAATAGGGAAACTGAGGCTCAGAGAGGTTAAGTAACTTGCCCAAAGTCACTCAGCTGGTAGATGGTGGAGGTGAGATTTGAACCTAGGAGCCTGACTGCAGTGGCTATGTGCTTAACCAATGTACTATACAGCCTCTCATTGGTTTATTATTTTTTTCCAAAATATCCTTCCTGAAGTTTTATAGGATTTTAACAGGGAAGTAATTGTGTATGCTCAGCTGAATATCTTGGTCTCATATTGGTGAATCTTTCATGAAAGCCAAGATTCTACTCTACCAACCACTGCAGTATAGTGGCTAAGATGGGACTAAACCAGTCCCAGTGTTGCTACTTACTGGATGGTGTGGAAGTTACTTAATACAGCATTAGTGTTCTCATTTGTAAAATGGGGGTAATAATAGTATTTACTATAGAACTATTGTAAAGTGAGATTATGCAGATCAAGCATTTGCACAGTGCTGAACAGAGTAAAAAGGTAATATTTATCGACCTATTATATAGCTAATAACAATAGCATCATTAGAACTAATAACATAGCATTACTAGAATTATTTTTATTTACCGCATATGCTTATTTCAGGCCCTCCCAGCCCAGCTCATGCCCTAGAGTTCACACAGCGGGAGAGAGGCAGAGGCTCATTTGCCGTAATGTCCTGTTTTTAGGCTTCTGGAATACTGCTGATGTCAGACCTGGGGCCTGTCATTTAATGAGAAGAGAGCTGGCAGCAGCCTCACCCCATGCCCTTTTCCACCACTTAAAGCAGAGACAAAGGACATTCATCCAAAGAGAAAGATTAGATTAGGCAATTTACCAATTCATGAAAGTCGTTCAACTGTTTCTGCCCTTCCCCTTCCCCTTCCCCAGGAGCTGTGTCCCCATCTGCCTCTGCAGCCCTGCGTGGTGGGCCAGCCTCGCGTCTGCAGCATTCCCTGCTGTGGGAGACCCTGCCCAGGACCAGGGATGCCACTGGAAATGAAGGTGTTACTTCTGCAGTTAACTGATGTACCTGCAGTTAATTTCCCTGCTCATCCTGATCTCCATAAGACAGCCTTGAGGGGTAAGAGAGGGGCAGAGGCAGAGGCAGTTTTCAGCGCCACAGTTCTTCCACCTACCTGCCTCCCTCCGACCCTAGGAGGGTTGTTCTGTTGCAACCCCCCTCTCCCAGCATCAACAGAAGGAGAGGGGGCCGGATGGGCAGCTGGGAGGGAGCAGCAGGAAGCGTTGTGCCTCCCTCCTGGAACACCTGCAGAGAAGCAAGTTCTGGCTTTTCTAACCTGTGAATGGCTCTGAGCTCATCTTCCAGAGTATACAGTTGGAAAGCTGAGGGGGAGAGGCTTCTGCTTAAAAAAAAAGCAAAGAAAAAAAAAAGCATGTATTGCACTATAAATGAATTGCTTGCCTGGAAATAAATGTATGAAAATCTGTACAGTTGAGAATGAGATTATTCTTTAATACCATGTCCTAAAGATAACCACTGTTAATAGTTTGGTGTATTCATTGCTTTTCCATTGTGCTGCAACATGCTTTTCTCACTTAGCTTTGCATCTCAGAGAGCTCTCCAAGTCAGTTCATCTAGGTCTTTTCATTTTTGCTAATAACTGAGTATTATTGAGTATTATTACATGAGGATAGGTAAAACATTTTCCTTTTGACTAGTGTTCCCATTAACGGATACTTAGGTTGTATCCAAACTTTTTTTGCTCTTATAAACAAAGCTGCACTGAACATCCCTGTAGATATTTCTCAGTATATGTATGTGAGAATGTTTCCAGGAAGAATTCCTAGAAGTAGAATGGCCAAGTCAAAGAGTTTGCACATTTATTTATTTTTTAAAATATATCTTTATTAATTTCAGAGAGAGGAAGGTAAAGGGAGAGAGAGAGAAATATTAATTACAAGAGAGTCATTGATCAGCTGCCTCCTGCACGCCCCCCCCACTGGGGATTGAGCCCGCAACCCGGGCATGTGCCCTGACCGAGAATTGAACTGTGATCTCCTGGATCCTAGGTTGATGCTCAATTGCTGAGCCACGCCAGGCAGGGTGAGTCTACACATTTAAAAGGTTGAAACATATTGCTATATTGCTCTAATTTGCATACTTATAGGAGGTTGTTCCTTAATTTTCAATGGCTCTGACCAGTATGCAACATCTGAATTGCTTGTACCAATAGCTCCTGAGTTCTTCAGAGATTTGGACAATCCTCAATAGTTGTTTTGGTGCAGGTCAACACACTTTTGTGTGCCTGGTACAGATACTGTGGTAGGCATGGGGTATTCAAGGGTGTCTAGAGGTTGAATAACACTCCATACCCACCTTAGAGGAGTTTACAAGTGGGGGAAGAGACAAATAATTGAAAATTAAAAGATAATGTCCCAGGTACCAAGCTATAAATAAAATACTGAGAATGCATGGAAGTAACTGCCTCTTTCCAGGGCCTTTAGAGAAGGCCTCCCATAGGAAGTGGGCCTTGGAAGATGAGTAGGAGTTCTGGTAAAGGAGTAGGGAAGGGCACTCTAAGCAGGGGAACTAGCATGAGCAAGGGTCCAGAGGTGCAGAAGTTCATGTGCTGCCTAGAGAATGGTTCCTTTGATCTACAGGATGATTGGGAAGAGTGATGAGAAATCAATCAGGAGAAGTTCATCTTGAATGCCACAGGAAAGGGAAATGCTCAGATCAGGTGAAGAAAGGCTGGAGGGGAGAAAGCCTGGAGCCCTGGACAATGATTAAGAGACGGTGCACCTGGGGTGGGGCAGGGTTGGATGGAGGGGTGACAAAAAGGGAGAAAATGGGAGACATCTGTAATACTGTCAACAATTAAAAAAAAGAGAGACTGTGCAGAAGTTCAGGCAGAGGTGATAAAAGATGGGGTTGGGATGATGGTGCTCAGGATGGGGGTTGGAGGGTGGAGGGTAGGGCTGGAGCCGTGGATAATGCTTGGACACATTCCTTTTGTATCTCAGACTCAGGCTGGAATGGTAAGAATCAGGCCTAGAGGCTGTCATCTGAGGCAAATTTATTACACTGGATGGTTAATAAAACTGTATTGATTTCATTTTGTTTTGCAACAAGAAATCCCTCTGCTGGGAGAAATGTCAAATCTGATGTGTCTGAGAGGAATGAGCAATAGACCTGCTTAGGTTAGTTCAACTGAAAACTGCTGTCTTAGGACCAGAGCTGCCTGCACTCTGTGCTGGGCCAGGGTGAGGCCTTCCCTGGGCTGTAATGCCCTTCTTGATTAGGAGCCCTGACACTGACCCCGCTAGAGAGATCGGAGAGGATGCAGGGGAGAAAACAAGGCTAAGGCAATGACCTTGTGAAAGACAAAACCAGGAGTTAGTATGGACACACAGTTAATCCATTCATTTGTTTATCAGATCTGCATGAGAATTTACTCAGTGGCTAGCACAGTGCTGACTATTGGAGACGTAACATCCCTGTTCCCCGTGGACCTGGTCTAGGACCAGCGCCATAAGAGCTGGAAAATGGGTCGGTTTGTCATGGTCAAATCTCATCTTCAGTAAAACTATGGAGTTCAAGATGTTTGGAAACCTTCCTCTCTTTCCTCTTTCTCCATCTGACCCCACACCAGGCTTCCTTTCCCATGATAGTGGGTTTGTGTACCATTCTTGTTCTCAGTAGACTGTCATCTCCTCCCTATTAAAACATCAACTAATCATCAGAGAATTTCTGAAAAACAGCTTAGGGCATGATCCATTCTGAGATTTCATTCTCAAGATGTGTGAGAGAAAGCTTGGAAGAAATATCTGGTCTTGATTCCAGCTGGTCCCAGCCTAGCTGCTCACTAGGTTGGTGACTTTGGAAAAATCATTTAGCCTTTCTGAGCCTCATATGAGGCATCACAGTTCCTGCTCTGCCCTCCTCATGGGATGGTTGGAAGGCTCAATAGGATGTTGATGTGCTTGGAAAATTGTCGAGCACAGTACAAAAGCAAGGGCCTGTAATTACTGCCTGTGTCCTCTGTTGCTTGGAGACAGAGACCTAGATTGTTATTTATTGCAGGGTGCTCAAAATTCACAAGCTGCCCCTTTCTTTACCCCAACTCTCAAGGGAGTGAACATACTACACTTTGATTCACCTCTTCCCATTCAAAGATGATGGCCTTTAAGACTAATGGGGTTGAACAAATTTCCCCCAAAAAGAATCTGTGTGAAGGGCAAGGCGAATGAGACTTAAAAAGGATTCCCTGTAGACAGCAGGACAAGAGCAAATAGGCTTGGATGATAGCAGGAAAGATTAGGTCAAACTTTGGGAAGAATAAACCTGTCTTTAAGGGTTGGGAGACAGTGACTGTGTGACCTTGGAATTTCTAAGACCTGAATGTTATCCCATCAGATCAATTGTGCAACTTGGGGCAAGTCACCAATGCCCTTTAATTACCATTTACTAAGTTATCAAGGGTCTCTGGACCTCAGTTACTTCCTAGGGGTTGTACTGAGGCAATAGTGTGTATATCACACAAAAATGTGAGCTGAATTGAATCTCTTTTTCTGAAACATGTTCTGATGAAAGATGGAGGCTGCTCTTTTTGTAAAGTTTGTGGGCAGGAGGATAAATTAGGTACCTACAATCCTGCAAAGCCCCTATGGAGAGTTCACATTGCAGATAGTACAAAAACTTGGTGAAAATCTAATTAGTGATTCTGAACTGGATGTAGCTGTTCAACTGCTGAAATGCTATCATTTGTGCTCAGTTGGAGGAGACAAAAAAGACCTCTAGTAGGCTGCAGGTAACCATCCTGAGCGTTTCCCCACAAAATGTTTGGCAAAAAGAAAATTTTACCTAATTAACTAGGACAAAGGGAACTAGTAAGAAGTCTGGCTTAAAAAATGAGAAAGCTGAGTCTCCTTGCCACTGGTAAGATTATCTTCATGGAAAGAAATGAAGGTTTCAACTTATTCACATTGAAGAGGGAGAGGCTCCTGTCCTGTTTCTCATTAGGAGCATTTGTGCTGAGATCTTCCCAAGTCATGGTCATTGACGTAGTGGAGGACAGGCCATGAATGATGATAACAAAGATGGTGATGGTGAGTTGACCTTCTTTGGAGATGTTCCATGTGTCAGCCTCTGTTCTAAGTGCTTCACATGGATTATCTCACTGGATTTTCATCATCCCATGATGTATTATTATCCTCGATTTACAGATGCAAAACTGGTGTTAATGGAGATAAATGTTGCCTCAAGGTTGCCTCTCTAGGAAATGAGCAAACCCAGGCAGTCTCACCCAAGAGCCAATAATCAAATATGTTGTTTCTTAATTTGAATTATTTTCTAGTTCCTGCTGTAGTCATTACCATAAGTTATAAGATATATGGATTCAGTTGAAGCAGTGTACGAGATTTCATTTATTTTAGTTCTGCCAGAGGCTGAGCTTGAAAGCTCCTTGAAGACAATCTCTGAGCTTTGAAATCAAGGCATCTTATTGCTTTCAAGATACCTCACTGTTAATTTTTGGAGCAATCTCACAAGGTGTAGGTACTATTATCACACTTAACAGATGAAGAAATTGAGACTCAGGTAACTGAAGTCATTGTTCCTCAAACTTTAATATATATATCTATCAGCTGAGGATCTTGTTAAAATTAGATTCTGATTCAGTAGGTCTGATGTGGGGCTTGAGATTCTACATTTCCCTGGTATCGCCAAGGCTGCTGGTCTGGAACCACACCAAGGAGCAAGGTAAATAAACCACTCAGGATCACATAGCACAGAAGAGGGAGATCCTTAAAGGGATATCTCTTAAGACTAGACTATCCAGTGGCTTCTAGGGCATTCTATTGGTGGTTGCCTTTTGTCTGGTGGAACAGGGAGCTGGACAGGAATCCAGAACTTGAATCAGTCCCTGACCACTCTGCCCCTTGGTCATGCGTATCCCCTCTCTGAGCCTCAGTTTTCTTTCTATGTACAAAGTTGGGGGTGAATTACATGACTTCTAAGATGTCTGAATGCCAGAATAAATCATGAGGAGAAGTGCCCTGGATGCAGGCTGGAACCCTGGATGGAAAGATATTTCTATGAGGTGGGAAGATTGAAAGGAGGTCACCTTAGAATACAGA